ACGATCTCTAGACACTTATGGCGTGTGTGCATACATCAAAAACCATATTTTAGGGATCCATGTCTATGCCCAGATCGTGAAAGTGATTTCTTCCTCGGATTTGACGGTTCTTCCTTCACTTGATTCCAACGCTTCATCTTCGTTGACTTCTATGTTTTTTCCCGGAGGCTCCCAAGTTTTTTTCCTCTCTCCTTAGATTCCAGGTGGCGTTTACATCGTGTTTGGAGGAAAAGAGAAAGTGGGTTTCCGGAGAAACTGATAGAATCTGGCTTTTCGTTTTGATTTTCGATCGTACGATTTCTGAGTGCGCAAAGGGAACGAACCATCTTTCCCTTTCTGATTTTTTTCCGACAATCTTTCGATTTCTTCAGATACTACAGACAATCCCCGTACCGAAATTCTCAATGTTATCGAGCTTTCCCTTTCTGGGTGTCAATACTCATAAAGGGCTTACCCCCTTCCTCCTCTTTCCTTTTTCTCTGTAATCTGTCAGAATCTCTGTCCGAATCTGACCCACTTTTCCTCCATCCTTGGAATTTCTTCCTCTCCTTCTCTTCTTGAATTCTCAGGATGTTGGAGAAAGTAGAAGCATTGGATCTCAGCAAAGTGATAGATGAATTCGAGGAGATGACAAGAAACGCAGGGGAGGTTCAGGAGAAGACCCTCAAGGATATTCTGGAGAAGAACAAGTCAACCTTCTATCTGCAGAAATGTGGGCTCAATGGAAGTACGGACATCGATGATTTCAGAGCAATGGTTCCACTGGTCACCGACCATGACATGGAGCCTTACGTCAAAAGAATGGTGGAAGGTGACAAATCCCCCATTCTCACCGGTCTCCCCGTCTCCGCCATTTCATTGAGGTAAAAACTCTTTCTTGAACCTTTTCTGCAACTCAACCATTACAGACAGAACACAGAGGATGAATAACATCCACTTCGTTGTCTCTGTTCATTGCAGTTCTGGAACCACCCAAGGTCGTCCAAAGTTCATTCCTTTCACTGATGTTCTAATGGAGAACACCTTACAGCTTTACCGGACTGCTTTTGCATTCAGAAACAGGTAATAACCTTTCTTCCACATTCCCCCCTATGACCCTGTTTGCCTGTTTTAAATTTGCATCGCTAATTTATGCAGAGAATTCCCTATCGGCAATGGAAAGGCGTTGCAGTTCATCTTCAGCAGCAAACAGTACATCTCCGAGGGTGGCGTCCCCGTGGGAACTGCCACCACGAATGTTTACCGAAACCCGAACTTCAAAGCCGGGATACGATCCATTCGATCCATGTACTGCAGTCCCGACGAAGTTATATTCAGTCCTGATGTCCATCAAGCCCTCTACTGCCATCTCCTGTGCGGGATTCTGTCCAGGGACGAAGTTCAGTATGTCTTCGCAGCTTTCGCTCATAGCCTCGTCCATGCTTTCAGAACCTTTGAACATGTCTGGGAAGACATTGTGGCTGACATAAGAGAAGGTGTCCTAAGCAGCCGCATCACTGTCCCATCTGTCCGTTCGGCCGTGTCAAAGTTGCTTCGACCCAATCCAGGGCTAGCCAACTTAATCCGAACAAGATGTCTGAACCTGAGCAACTGGTACGGACTGATACCCGCACTTTTCCCGAACGCAAAGTACGTATACGGGATCATGACTGGTTCGATGGAGCCGTACGTGAACAAGCTGAGGCACTATGCTGGCGATCTTCCCCTAATCAGTCATGACTACGGCAGCTCGGAAGGGTGGATTGCAGCCAATGTTACTCCGAGATTGCCCCCAGAAGAGGCTGTTTTTGCGGTGGTCCCGAATTTCGGCTACTTCGAGTTCATCCCTGTTGCTCAGACAGGTGAGGAGATGCCCAAGCCAGTGGGTTTGACCGAGGTCAAAGTCGGTGAAGAATATGAAATCCTTCTTACCAACTATGCAGGTACGTAAAATAATCTCAATCCTTTTTTACATTGGCCACTTCTACATCGGCCCGTAAGCAATTATTCGTTATTTTCCTTGGGAATTCTGATGTTCTTGATATTGATTCAACTCACTGGTCGATTCCTATATATGTAGGAATGTACCGTTACAGGCTAGGGGACGTGGTCAAGGTCGTGGGTTTCTACAACAGAACACCACAACTCAAGTTCGTGTGCAGGAAAAACTTGATACTCTCCATAAACATCGACAAGAACACGGAACGAGACTTGCAACTGTCCGTAGAAGCAGCTGCCAAGAGACTGTCCGTGGAAAAGCTCGAAGTCATAGACTTCTCAAGCCACGTGGACGTCTCCACCGAGCCGGGACACTACATCATATTCTGGGAGATCTCGGGCGGGACGAACAAGGGTGTCCTGCAAGAATGCTGCAACGTCCTGGACAGATCGTTCTTGGACGCGGGCTACGTCAGTTCGCGGAAAACGAAGAGCATAGGGCCGCTCGAGCTACGCGTCGTCGTGAAAGGAACGTTCAAGAAGATCCAAGAACATTATCTAGGGCTCGGAGCTTCGGCCGGACAGTACAAGACGCCCAGATGCGTGAAGCTTAGCAACAAGAAAGTTCTTCAGATCCTCTGTGAAAATGTCGCCAGCAGGGTCTTCAGCACGGCGTTTGAATGATCAAGTAGAGTAGTTAATTTAATTCACATATTACACAAATTGCCCATAAGTTAGCAAAGTAAAGATTAAAAGTAGATCGATGCGACATAAATGTCGAATGTTTAAGTACCTTCGGTTATAAGATATGGTCTGAATCTAGACATCTGACATTGCGTGATTCTTAGTGTCGTCCGTCTGTTTTCGAGATTCAAGTTCGATGTATTTCACAAGATTACAAAAGCGAGTGACGTCACAGTCGACAATTATTTGCACAAAATACAATAAAACTCTTTTTTTTGGCAGTGAGTAATTTAATAACGAAGAACCGAATTTTGATTAGGACCATGTTCTTGGTGCCTGGTGGGGCCCCATAGGTTGCTAATCTTGTCTTGACTCTGATGCCATGAACTGTACACTCATAGTCAACACAGAGATTCAGATTACGTCCAAAGCGAGACGATTAAAATTCCAATCAAAATTATAATCAATGTCTTTTTTACTTAAATTCGATGCAACTAATCTTTCTCCTTTGCTATCTTTTCAGTTCCACGCTGTATCTTACTTTGTCTTGGAATACGTTAACTCCAGTCGTTGTCCTCGCGCCAAATCTTTCCACTAATTAAATTTCTGTTATCTTTCCTAATTATTTTGTCATTGATAGTCCATATTAATGGTTTTTTTTTGTAATGTCCTTTTAGATGTTTAATTCTGTTAGTTAAAATAGTTACTTTTGAAAATAATATACAAAAAAAGGGATATTGCCTCTTTTTTTTCTGCTATTGTTGGCATAACAAATAGTGTTACGTTTAGTTCGAAAAAAAGAAAACTACATCCAACAGATCCAATTTAGGGTATGAGGTAACTCCATATTTAGGTTGAGTGTTCGATTCCTGATTGATAAAGAGATAGATAATTTATGAGTTTATATGATCTATATACAAAGTATGTTCCCGTACCAGAGATTTATCTAATTACTACGTCCGAAGAGTATCAGCTAAAAATCCTCCGTTATTAAAAAAAAAAAGCTAGGTATCTAGAATTGTAACGTTTGTACTTATTTGACGATTGTACTAGTTATTTTGCACAATTTCAATCCATTTAATTTGTTTGAAGCTATAATGAAATTATCCATTTTGTATATATTACAGGGATACGCACTTCATCTCATATTGAATTTCCGAAATTAATAAAAATCGAATTATTCAAACGGGTTTGAACTTTGAATAGAAATGAAAACCATAGGAATGGGGACACAGACCAACGAAATTAGTGTGAAACTAAAACCACAGAGTCCAAATTAGATACTTCTTTATAACAAACTGGAAAATATCATAGCTTCTCATGGATGGGACAAAAAAGAACACAATGACATTCACAAACTGTCCTGTCAGAAAATCTACATCGATCGGGGAAAAAGAACATCAATGTTCACGGGGAAAACATCAAGTTCCCATGTATATGGAGATTACTGGGAACAATAACGTGTGGAGCACTGTGGAAGTTATCCTGTACGACTCGTACTCGCTTTAATTCCGTTTCTTGTTTGTGTTTTCTTTTTCTTTAAATTAATTTGAAATTGGGTAAGGTGTGACCACAGCAGTAATACAACTGCGTCGACCATAACGCTACTGCAACTCCAAATAACGCAGACGTACGGTAAAATTACAACCAACATATAAAACCGTACGGAGATCATAGAAACGTGGATATATATGACACGTGGAATTTCAAACAATGATTGCCCAAATCTCGATTAATTTTAAAATGTATCAACGATACCCCGTCAGAGCCCGTCAACCAGTTTCGTTTCCGGAAACAAACAGAGTGTAAACGTGTATAGAGTGATACAAGAAAGGGTAACCATAAACTTTCAAGTGTAAGCCCTCCTTAACAAGTGTATCAACCATTACACTCCCGTGTACCCATTAAACATGTACAGAAAAACATAATATATGCAGTGGCAGCGGCAAGGAAGATGGTGTCTTACCTTTGATGGAATTTGGAAATGGAAAAATCTATTGGATCTGATCTGAGCATTGAAAAAGCGAATGTAAACAGACAAAGTAGGCATTCAGAACCCTTTCTTCAAGTGTTATAGAGAAATCACCAGAAATCAGGTTCAATGTTTCCAGCAAACACAAACCACATGAAAACTGCATCAGAGTTGCCAGAGCGATTTCATAGCTCTGAGGATTCTACTTGTTAGTTGAGCGATTTTCCTGCTTCTTGGACACGCTTTTCTGCAAATTCAAGATTATGCTGAGGATGAGTTGACAAACTGATTTATACTGCAATCAGAGATAATCTTAGGAAGTATGATGGAGTTGCGTAGATTCTGGATTCCAACAATTAGATATTTCATAAGCCACTTGATAAGTATAGAAATACAGAATTACAGACGACAACTGATAGCTCCATGCCTACTCTAGTAAGGATTTCAAGCAACCCTGGGATTTGTTAATCCGACATAAAAATTGAACAGGCCAAACTTCTACCGACAGTTGAGTTGCGCCAGGCAACAACCGCGAAATCTAGAAGAATAGCGATCTGATGAATGTTGAATAGGTCAGAAACAATCATGTCCGAACTCGTAAAGGCTTTTGAGAATCGAATACGATCGGAAATGGAAACAGACATGGATACGAAGAACAACTACAGGAATTCTCAAACGATGGAGCGATGGATCTAAGAACCTAGAGTTCGTGTTTCGATAATCTATGCAAGAGATGAAGAGGAAATTTACGTTCTTAGAGAAGATGAAAGTGGCGATGACGGCGGTTGCCACCACTCCGCCGAGGATCACGGGGGGACCGGTGAGCAGACTCCATTTCCGGTATATCATCTTCGTCTTCTTCTTCTTCTACTCTCGTTCCTCCGACTTGGAGCCTTAGCGATCGTCTTCCCTTCGCCAATTTCCAGCTTCTCGAGGAAGAAAGAAACGATGCAGATCGAGAACCACCCCGCCCCCTGAATAGGTAGAATGGGCCTAGCCCATTGGGCTCTAAACCTAAACCCAAATTGATTTTGGATAATGTTCAAGCCCAAACGTCCGAGAATCTCATGTAACATATAAATCTGGGTGATTTGGTCGAGGAGCGATTCTTGATCTTCTTGGTGGTCGAGGATCAAATTATTAATTTGGATGGGGGAATTTAATTTTCGGAAATTGTGCGTTAGTCATGCTCTTTTTTTTTGGTCGGATTGATAACAGTGCCGTGAACGAACCCCTCGGATGTCGGATAATAGCAAATGTCCTCACGGATAATGGCATCGATTTATCTACACAACAAAACAAATATCATCATATATATAAAAGTAGAGTTCACTTCAAGAGGGCTTGAGCGTTAGGATTTTTAACAAGGGACAAACTCAAAAAAAATCTCCAAATTTTTTATTTTCACAAAAAAAACCTTCTACTTAAAATTCATCATAAAAAATTATTAACTATTAATTTTGAGAAAAAAACATTAATTATATAAAATTTTAAAAAAATCTTTCAATTTAAATTTGTTATAAAAAATCATCAATTATTAATTTTTATAAAAAATTATTTATCTATCTACAAAATATTTTGTTTTAAAATTTTTTGTAAAAATTTATAAAATTTAAAGAAAAAACATATATAAATTATGTAATTCTAAAGATCACAATAAAAACATAATATTTATTTAAATTTATTATATCATAATATTTAAAATTTATATAAATATTTGTAAATGTCAATCTTTATATAATAAATTTGTGTACAAATGTTACATTCAAAATTCATTATATTTTATTGGTTGTAAATATAAAATTTAAAATTTTATTATATGTTACTATTTGATAGGTTGTAAATTGAGTACATTTTATTGGTTATAGGTTTATATATTTAAAATAGAATGTGTTTTGAAAATTTCAAATAGTTGATGGTTTTTTATTAAAATTATTTTATAAATCTATAGAAAAAATAAAATGATAATTTGCAATCTCTATAATAATAACATATAATGGAATTTTAAATATAATATTTACAACCAATAAAATATACTCAATTTATAATCTATTAATATTAATATACACTTTTTATATTTTAATAAATAATTGTTTTATTAAAATTAATAATTGATGATTTTTTATAACAAATTTAAATTGAAAATTTGTTTTTAAAAAATTTAATGGTATTTTTGTTCAAAATTAATAGTTGATGGTTTTTTATGATGAATTTTAAATAAAATGTTGTTTTGGTATAAGTAAAAAACTTTAAAAAAATTTTTTGTGGTTCCCCAATAATAATTAACGAATTCGCATAAATGTTTTACACTAAAGGAAAAAAGAAAGGAGAAAGGGTCGAGTGTTGTGTTGACGTGCAGCGTGAACACAAGCCCACTCGGCACGTGGGAAGCACATGCTAACATTTTCATCCACAGTTGTCTATTCGATGAAAGTTACGGGAAATAACCTTGTCAGCTTTACGAAAAAATCTACTTATACAGAAGCGTATATCTATATTAGTAATGACGATGATGAGAAATAATCTAGTCGATAAAAAGACTAATAATCTACTAATGGTAAATAATCTAGTTGGTAAAAAGAATAATATCCATCGATTAATAATTATGACGATGAGAGGAGCGCCAAATAATGTTTTAGAGGAAGCTTAAATCATTTTATAATGTTAGGAGACAGGCTTTTTTTTTTTTTGTACGAGAATAATTTTGAAATCTCAAAATTGGTATTAGATATGGATACAAAAAGACGAAAAGAGGCTTAAGTTGAAGGCCAATTACGCATTTCAATATTTCTTTCGGCCCATTTTGGGCTAACTAAAAGGTTGCATGAAAAATTTATTTGTTTATTGTTCCACGTTGCTGGGTTTTTATACTTATTGTTTTCTCTTTAACCGTGGATAGTAGCAAAAAGGAGAGTATATTTTATGTTATTTTGAATTAAAATTACATTTTATGTTTCAAACAGTTTCATTTTTCAGGAAAAAAAAAATCAAAGTCATTTGGGAGTTATTATAATGATTAGATTTGATACATGTGTCAGTAAAGTCGCGAGGTGTCGGGGTCATGGGACGACGCATTTCGGTTGGTGAATAGAATGTGTGGAGTAAATTCAATACAGGAAGTAATTAGAAATGGATGCATGGATTTAGTTTAAGATTGGCCGAGCGAGGATGTTGTAAAATATGTCTCTGATGGTGCTGACAATCGTGGAGGAATACATGAAACAATTTAAGACTGTAAGGTAAGGTAGCACTGACGAGTTGTTGGGTTGGAGAGAGAGAGCTCTGGCGGCGCTGCTGCTGATTGGTTATTCGTCACATCTGTGAAAGGTGACGGAAGGGATGTGTTGGATCTTGTGATGATCTTCTCCCCCTTCGACCAACTTCTCCATGAATCCCTTTTTCATCCCTCTGAGATGCAATTCCTTTAGAGAAGAGATGCTTCTCAATCCATCAGGCAACCTCTCCAGCTTTTGGCAGTTCATTATCTCCAGACGACGAAGACGAGGCATGGACCCTTCTTCCACCACCCACTCTTCAAGATTTTCTCTGAGGAGCAGATACAAAGAACGCAATTGAGGGAACCCTCTACTCGAACAGACCATTTTCCTCCCTATGAAACTACTCTCCCCTAAAAAAACTTCCTTCAAGCTAGACATCTTCTCAAGAATGGACATAGGATCCTCCCCTAGACTACACTTATATAATGTAATAGATGCGAGGTTGGGAGCGGATTGGAGTTCGTCTGGTAACTTCTCCATCTTTATACCCTCCAAACCTAACCGGTTGAGATGAGGGAAACATGAAACGAGCCCTCCTACATCGAATTTAATTGGGTCAGAAATCCGATGGTACAACTCAAACTCTTCCACAAGTTTCAGCGCTGTCATGAGAGATAAAGGTAAACTCCCCTCATCTGATGTTCTATGGACATTGATACCAAGTTGTCTAATATTTCTCATATTGAGAAGGTCTTCCACTCTACAATGCTTCGTTGAGAAGTAGCACAAGGTCTCCAACTTCACCAGACTCCCCATTTCCAGCTTCGTCTCTTCACTGAGACTAGGAGGCAACACAAGGTACCTCAGATCCTTCATCCTCTTCAACACATTTGGTATATGAACTACACCATCAATCCCCAATTCCAAAAAGACCAGTAACGTTAGATTCCCAAGAGAAGATGGTACCTCTGTTAAATTAGTGTCAGATAAGCTCAAGTATCTCAAGTGAACGAGCTTTCCTATGCTCTTTGGCAGCTTCCCTCCTCGAAATTGCACTCCACGAAGAACTAACACCCTGAGTGATGGCAAGCTTCCAAAGCTCAGGTCTGAAATCCAACTAGTAAAATTTGGAGGGATACACAACAAAGATCTTAATTTTGGGTTTCTTATTTGTCTCTGGTGAAATGTCATAACTTCTTCATCATCGCTATCATCTGAATCCCAATGTACGGCAAGTCTGCGAGGCCTAAAGCTGGACACAGAATTTGAAGAGTTGACGCTTGAGAAGCGAGCCTCGACATTGACAACTTCAAGGAAGTTCTCTTCTTTGGCTATCAACAAACACACATCTCTCATCACATCATGCACCCGAATGCTGTCGATTCTTGAGCTCACATCTCTACGAGAGACTAAAACCATATTTCTCTTCACAAGCTCCTCAAGGTAGCCTTGTGCTACATCTCGAACAGACCTATTAGTACCCTCTGACGGCATTTCTACTATTCCTTCCGCAAACCAACATCCTAACAATGTATCCGCATCTATCTCATAATCTTCTGGATAATGGGCGAGGTAAAGGAAACAATGCTTTAGAGGGTATGACAAATCTTCATAGCTCAAAGACAACATTTGGTATGCTTTATTCTCGTTGTGGTCGTGGCTTATTTCTCTTATAATTTGAGATTCGATATCCTCCTTTGCCCTTTTCCACTGGGATGCTGTCCTTTTATCGGATAACAAGCCTCCTAGCGTTCTGACAGCCAAAGGTAATCCCCCACATTGATTTATCATTTTGTCAACCTCTTCCTTCGCTTCCTCAATCTCAAACTCTGCACATGACAATAGAGTGTTTGACAAAACAAAATTGGTAGCTTATATACAAACATCAGTTTCCAATATACTATAACTATTGATGTAAACATTTTAAGTGTTTGGAAGCAAAAGCAATATGTTTGAAACGACCTGTTTGTATGTATGAAACGTACCGATATCATCTCTCCCGTAAAATGCGATTCGCAGCAAAAGTTCTCGACTCTCTTCATGAGTTAAGCATCTTGGTCTGAAAATTTTACATCTTGGATCCACATATGAAGCAACATCCTCATTTCGAGAAGTAAGTAAGATCTTGCTACCTGCCAAACATTATGTTTTATGACTCATTGATCTATTCTTCTTTCTGGGAAAAAAAAAAAACTGAAGAGGCTACCTGGCTTTTGTGAGAAAGCTGGCTTTATAAGGTCCCAAGCTTCCTTGTTCCATATATCGTCGAGGACTATCAGACATTTATTGGTTTCAAGCATTTCGAAGAGCTCATCCTGGAGCCGTTCTTCTGACATTTGCCGAATTCTATGTTCCTCTTCTTTTGCTCTAAGATTCGTTAAGATCTCCTGCCAAACGTACTTTCGCCTACATTGTTTTGAAACACACACCCATGCGGACCGGTCAAAATGACGTCTCACCATGTCATGGTGAAAAACTTGCCTAGCTAGAGTGGTTTTCCCCATACCACCCATCCCGCATATCGAAACAACTCCAATTTCGATTTTCTCCACCAAGTGCCTTGTTAGTTCTTGGATACTACCCTCCAGCCCCACAAGAACACTTTCAGAAACATTAGGAAACGATTGTCGACTCTCCCTTAATCTTTCAAATAAAGGCTCCGGAGGAATTCCATCGTCAACTATATATTGGACGCCGAAATTCTGCATTCTTTCCATTACCTTGGAGATCCTGGCGGTTATGCCACTGATCTGAGAATCAGCTTTTATTCGAGTCATCGGGCTGCGAGTAAACTTAGAGAGACGCTTTCTGAGCCCTCTTTCATCGGCGACTCCTTCTTTGAGAAGAAAGGATTCGATAACATCGTCTGCATCATTGACAATCTCTTTGATCTCATCCAAACAGTTCTTCACCCTTTGGCTTCCGTGTTTCTTGGCATCTGCATCTTTCAGAAAGCCCTTTAACCGTCCCACTTCATTTAGCAATTCAGTAACTCGTTCATGGATCCCGGTCAACCGGTCGGATTCCCGAACCAGTAGATCCCACAGCTTCTGCACTCCAAATGCGAGGACTCCGTCGGCCATGACTTTTCCTTGACCATTAAAACGCAAGAAAGCTACCATATGAGTAACTCAACTTCTTCAAATGTGCCAAATAAATAATTTAATTCTTAATTTGATTTAAATAATATTTCAAAAATTAAAATGTGTTAAATGGGTACACCGATTCTTGTATCAAATTTATACCTTTTAAATCCTGAAATTGAGACCAATAACCAACCAAGATATTGATCGATTTAGACTTTTTTGAACAAACGTATACGAGTTTTGGTATAGTATCAAATAATATTTCAAATATTAAAATGTGTCAAATCGATTCTTGTATCAAATTTATACTTTTTAACTCCTGAAATTGAGATCAATATAAAATATTTTAACTATTATATTATCAAATTAAAAACCAAATTATTTATTTGATACATTTTTTAAAAGTTGAAGTATTTATAAGAAATTGTTTTTTGGGGAAAAAAAAAGAAAGATACATAAAAAAAACACCCGAGTTACTATTTTGACATCCTTATCATCTCTTTCTCCGTTTTTTTTTTTTTTAAAGGACAATAGAGTTTGAACCTAAATGGGAAAAAGCCACCCACTTAGGTTCTTTCTCCATTCAACATTCACAGAACAATAACCTAAGCGGAGCATCGATAGAAAAATGTGAAGAAAATTCATCTATGAAGCGAAATCTGAGCAGATCCCAAATGACCTAAGCCGAGCATCGACAGAGAAGAGACACGAAGTAGGGTTTCCCACGAAGAACAGAAGGAGGAAATGATCAGTGGCTTACCTCACAATGGGCAACGGCAGAAGCAGAAGCAGAAGCAGCCCCTCTTCTTCAACTCTGGCGATCGGTTCTGTCTTCTGACCAAAGGGGCATTTAAATTGACCCATACAAGCAGGAGTCGTCGTCAATGGTCAACTCCAATGATTAAACCAATAGTGAGTTGCCACGTGGAGATGGAACGCGTTAATACTGTATCATGTGAAGCCCAAGGCCCGTAGACATCATTAGGCTTGTGACGAAGGCCCATTCACAGAAATTTGATTTTCTAAATGCAATTCGATTTACTTGTCAGTTATCCACAGTAATTCGAAAGAAAATTCACCAGACAAGTCGGATCATAGGCTTTTATGGCATAATATCTTAAATTATCAACACAGAGACATGATCAGCAATTAAAATGATCGTTTATAGTAACAATAATAGTTATTGTCCTATACTATGTATATATATTTATATTTATTCTAATACATCGTACCTTTGGGTTTTTTTTTCCCTTTTTTGGGTAGACCACACACACATAAACCATTTAGTCATTTTACTCTCGAGGATCTCATGATATATCCATTGTATAACTAGAATTTTACTGTAGAATATTTTGAGTTTTATAACTATTCAATACTGCAACTAAATTGAAACATAACACATTTAATTCCCTCTAATAAATCTGAAATCTTGTCTAATCATAGCACAACAAAACAGAGTGTGTGATTGTTTTGGGGGTAAGGAGTCAGGACAAAGTACTAAGTGTCTTAAATGATTGTTTTGGGGGTAGCATTGAATATCCAACGTCATATCATTACTCATTAGAATGTTTTTTAAATCACAGGCATAGAATTTTAAATTTGCAAACCAAACAGAGAGCAAATTGGGTTGTCGATTCACGCACAAACACAATCGTGGAGGAAAGCATAAACAATTAAGCAGATACGGTAGCACAATTTTTAACATCTTCATCAGGCAATTAAAAGGGTAGGAAGATATGACGAGAGAAGAATCTTCTGAAATGGATAAAACACCAAACTTTGATTTATGATTGGAACATCATCTATGATGGAACAGATGTGTTTGCCAAAATGTTGGGTTGGAGAAAGAAGATCATACCTCGGTGGTGGTGGTGGTGATTATCGGTCACAGCCGTAAAATTGGACAGAAGGAATATGTTGGACCTTGTAATGATCTTCTCCTCCTTCAACCAACTTGTCCTTGAATTCTCTTCTCATCCCTGTTACTTCCAATTCCTTTAGAGTAGTGATGTTCCCCAATCCATCAGACACCTTCTCCAGATTTGGGCAGTACGATATCGACAGACGAAGAAATCGAGGCACGGACCCTTCTTCCACTACCCAATCTACCAGATTTTGTAGCCCAAACAATCTCAAGAAACGCAATTGAGGGAACCCGTCTCTCGAACAAACCATTTTCCTCCCTAGTCCCTATGAAACTATCCATCTTTGAAACAACTTTCTTTAGGAAACGCATCCTTTCAAGAATGGGCATCGGATCCTCCTGTATTCTACAACTTGATGAAATAAATCCAAGAATCAACCTTTCTGAGATACATGGCGATACAAGGAAACCTTGGAAGACGCTCCACGATCCCTCTTTCATCCACGGACCCTTCTTTCAAAACAAAGGCTTCGATAATATCCTCTGCGTCATACACAATTTTCATTTATCTCTTTGAAACAGTTTCTCACCCTCTCACTTTCGTGTTTCTTGGCATCAGCATCTTTAAGAAAGCCCTTTAATCGTCCCAGTTCGTCTCGTAATCCAGTAGCTCGTTCATGGATTCCCCTTAACTGTTCGAATTCTCGACTCAGCAGATCCCACAACTTCTGCACTATTTTTATACGGGAAAAAAAATGGAGTGATTTAAAGAGCGGAGAGAATATCAACTTTATGTCTCACCTCTATATATCAGCAAAACGGTCGGCTCTCTTCTTCAACTCTAAGGATGAGATGACGAGATGTACGTTTAATCTGTCCCACTGAAAACAGTATTAAACTTAGATGCCAAACTGCTCCAAATCAACCCCTCTCTTTCATGGTAACCAAACAATGCAAGTTTCCGGCGTCATTAAAATGTGTTTTTTTTTAAAACGTGCAAATGACGTGTATGCCGCGTAGTTTCTCATTCCATGTGTTCATCAAATTGCGATTGATTTATTTTAAAAAACCTAACGATGGCTTATTTCTATTTCCCAAATATCGGTTAAGTATGAAATGGGCTGGCTAACTCGTGAAAAATCGATTTCGTTGGTTTCGCTTTCGGGGCCCAAACCATTAGGATAATACATAAACCAACTTATCTTAAAGAAGAATTAAGCCCCGTATTATAGATAAATAAAAGATACCACATTTAAGTATCCCATTAAGAAGAATTATCCGAGATTCCGAGTGAAACTCGGAAAGGTTAAACGAAGGTTCTCATTTCTCAGTTTCATTTTCATTGATAAGGATAAATGCCAAAACCAAAACAACTGGAAAAAGAAATGGAATACAAATTTCTCAAATATTTAAATTGTAGATACACTTTTGTAGGAATATTAATATCACTTCCCTTGTCTAAATTGTGCTCCACCAAGATCTAATACCCCGAGTGATCGTAAGCCTCCAAAGTTCAGAGCTGATATCCAAAGGGTGCAGTAACTTCTCACCCTACCAAAAAAGAGATTTTACTTTTGGGTTTCTTGTGTCTCGGGTGAAATGTTTTTTGCGTGAAAGTCGGACATAATAAGGTCCAAAGCTTCCTTACTCCATATATCGTCGATGACGATCAGTTTCTAACTTTGCGAAGAGTTCATCCTGCACTCGCTCTTCTGACATTACCTCCAAATATGTCTTAAATGACGTTGACACAGATACACAAACACAATCAGTGCATAATGGAGCAGATATATTTAAAAAACGTTGGGATTGGCGGAAATAAGTTTATACCTCGGTGGTGGTGGTGGTGTTGGCTATTATCTGTCACAAAAGTGAAATTTGACAGAAGGAATATGTTGGATCTTGTAATGATCTTCCCCCCCTTCAGCCAACCTGTCCTTGAGTTCTCTTTTCATCATTATGCCCACCAATTCCTTTAGACCGGAGATGTTTCTCAATCCATCAGGCAACCTCTCCAGCTTTGTGCAGTACACCATGGACAGACGACGAAGACGAGGCATACACCCTTCTTCCACCACCCACTCTTCTAGATTAGTCAGCCCCTCCATTTCCAAATTATGCAATTGAGGGAACCCTCTACTCGAACAAACCATTTTCCTCCCTATGAAACTTTTGTACTCTAACTTAACTTCCTTTAAGCTACGCATCTTCTCCAGAACGAGCATTGGATCCTCCTCTATCATGCAATAAGTTAATGAAATAGATGCGAGGTTAGGAGCGGATTGGAGTTCGTCTGGTAACTTCTCCATCTTTATGCCTATCAAGCGTAACCGGTTGAGATGAGGGAAACATGAAACGAGCCCTCCTACATCGAATTTAATTGGGTCAGAAATCCGATGGTACAACTCAAACTCTTCCACAAGTTTCAACATAGTAATGAGAGATAAAGGTAAAATCTCCTCATCCAATGTTCTATAGACATCGATATGAAGTTGTCTAAGATTTCTCATATTGAGAACGTCCTCCACTCTAGAATGCTTGGTCGAGAAGTTGATCAAAGTCTCCAACTTTACCAAACTCCTCATTTCCAACTTTGTCCCTTCACTGAGTCTATAAGGCAGCCTAAGATAACTCAGATCTTTCATCCTCTTCAAAACATTGGGCATATGAACCTTTTGGAGTAAAATCCCCAAGTCCAGAAAGACCAACAACGTCAGATTCCCAAGAGAAGGCGGTATTTTTGAAACATTAGTAGCAAATAAGCTCAAGTATCTCAAGTGAATGAGCTTTCCAATGCTCTTTGGTAATTTCCCTCCTCTAAATTCCACTCCACCAAGATCCAATAGCCTGAGTGATCGCAATCCTCCAGAAATCCGATGGTACAACTCAAACTCTTCCACAAGTTTCAACATAGTAATGAGAGATAAAGGTAAAATCTCCTCATCCAATGTTCTATAGACATCGATATGAAGTTGTCTAAGATTTCTCATATTGAGAACGTCCTCCACTCTAGAATGCTTGGTCGAGAAGTTGATCAAAGTCTCCAACTTTACCAAACTCCTCATTTCCAACTTTGTCCCTTCACTGAGTCTATAAGGCAGCCTAAGATAACTCAGATCTTTCATCCTCTTCAAAACATTGGGCATATGAACCTTTTGGAGTAAAATCCCCAAGTCCAGAAAGACCAACAACGTCAGATTCCCAAGAGAAGGCGGTATTTTTGAAACATTAGTAGCAAATAAGCTCAAGTATCTCAAGTGAATGAGCTTTCCAATGCTCTTTGGTAATTTCCCTCCTCTAAATTCCACTCCACCAAGATCCAATAGCCTGAGTGATCGCAATCCTCCAAATCTCAGAGCTGAAATCCAACGAGTGTTGTACCTTCGAGCGATACACAAAAGAGATCTCACTTTTGGGTTTCTTATTTGCCTCTGATGAAATGTTCTTGGTCCCTCATCATCTAAATCCAAATGTACGGAAAGTCTACGAGGATATGAGGAGTTGACGCTTGAGAAGTGAGTCTCAGCAGTGACAACTACAAGGAAGTTCTCTTCTTTGGCTATCAACAAACAGAAATCTCTCATTACATCATGCATACGAATGCTGACAATTCTAGAATTTGCCTCATTTATGTCTGAGACTAAAACCAAATTTCTCTTCACAAGCTCCTCGAGGTAGCTTTCTGCGACCTCTCCAATTGTACTATTAGTACCCTCTGATGACATATCTATAACTCCTTCTGCGATCCAAGAATGAAACAACTTTTTCGTATCTATCTCATGATCTTCTGGGAAATGGGCCAAGTAAAGAAAGCAATGCTTCAGACGGAAGGACAAATCTTCGTAGCTCAAAGACAACACTTGGAATGCTTCATTAATGTTGTGGTCAGGACTGATTCGTCTTATAATTTGAGATCCGATGTTCTCTTGAACCCTTCTCCACTCGAATATTGTGGGTTTAGTAGCTAACAAGCCTCTTAGCGTTTTGATAGCCAATGGTAATCCTCCACAATGTTTTATCATTTTGTCAACCTCTTCCTTCACTTCCTCAATCTTAAACTCTACACGCGACCATAAGCACAATACCTTGCTATTAATATTTTACGAAAAATACTTAAAACTAAATTGCATACTATTTCCCTTAATCTATATCATGCATATTACACGAAAACTATCCAAAGCACTATAAAAATAATACAAAAACTTTCGATTTATTTGTTTTAGGTATAGAAACGTACCGATATCATCTCTCCCAAAAAATGTGATCTGCTGCAACAATTCCCAACTCTCATCATGAGTTAAGCATCTTGGATAAAAAATTTTACATCTTGGATCAGCATTTTTGGCGACATCCTTATTTCGAGAAGTGAGTAAGATCTTGCTATCTACCAAATAAAGTGAGTTTCACAATTGGCATTGCGGAGATGATAACAACAAAACTACAATAGAGAAAAAGGAATAAGAAATTCTCGAGAATTCTTCTGAAATAGAAATAAAAAGCATAATTTTTTTATTTAACGCGAACATAAACGTAAGGTTAATGCTGATGTGAAAGTATATGGAAGCAATTCAAACTGGAATAAAAAAAAATATAGTTGAACAAAGGCTTGAATAGACAACTATCTTGATTCATTCTGCAATTACATCAGAAACATAATAATCATAGTGGTTTATGGCAAATGAATCTGTTTTTCTTTTAAAACGAGAATTTAAGAGGGTACCTGGCTTTTGAGTAAAAGCTGGCTTTATAAGGTCCCATGCCGCAACACTCCATATATCGTCGAGGACGATCAGACATTTATTGGTTTCAAGCATTTTCAAGAGTTCATCCTGGAGTCTTTCTTCTGACATTTGCTGGATTCTATGTTCCTCTTCTTTTGGCCAAAGACTCAATAAGATCTCTTGCCAAACGTACTTTCGCCTACATTGTTTTGAAACACACACCCATGCAAACTGGTCAAAATGACTCCGCACAGTGTCATGGTGAAAAACTTGTCTAGCTAGAGTGGTTTTCCCAATACCACCCATCCCGCATATAGCAACCACTCGAATATCGCCTTTCTCCACCAAACGTCCCGTTAGTTCTTGGATGCTATCCTCCAACCCCACGAGATCGCTTTCAGAAATATTAGGAAACGATTGTCGAGTCTCCCTTAATCTTCCCAATAAAGGCTCTGGAGGATTTCCATTTTCACCAATATATTGGATGCCAAGACTTCTCATACTTTCCATTACCTTGGAGATTCTGGTGGTTATGTCATTGATCTGAGTATCAACGTCTCTTCGGTTCACCGCGATGCAAGGAAACCTAGTCAGACACTCTCTTCCATCGGCGAACCCTTCTCCGAGAAGAAATGCTTCGATAGTATCCTCTGCATCATAGACAATTTCTTTTATCTGTTCCAAACAGTTTCTCAGCATTTCGCTTTCGTGTTTCTTGGCATCTGCATCTCTAAGAAAGCCCTTTAACCGTGCCACTTCATTTCGTAATTCTGTAGCTAGTTCATGGATTCCGGTTAACCGTTCGGATTCCCGAACCAGCAGCTCCCATAGCTTTTGCACTCCGAATGATACAACTCCTTCGGCCATGACTCTCCTAGTTCTTTAATCCCTAAAAAAAGAAAGACACCATTAAACAAACTCGGATTTACTATTTTAACGAACTCTTCGTCCACATCTATTTCTTGACCATATTAACAAGCATCTGAACGTGATTCAGTTCAATATCCACAGCACGATCACCTAAGCGATGCAGCGATAGAAAAAAAGGTGAAGAAATCTCAAGTAAGAATTAAAATTTTGAGCAGATAGCAAATCAACGAAAAGGAGAGGAAACGAAATAGGGTTTTCCACGGAGATTGAAGGAAGCGATCATTGCCTTACCTCACAATCAGCGGCAGCTCTTTCGTCAGCTCTGGCCATCGGATCCGACCAATTTGAGTATTTAAATTGACCCATAGAAGCATCAATCGTCAATGGTCAACTTCGATCATTAAACCAATAATTTGACGCCACGTGGAGATGGAATATCTTATCTTTAATAATATATCATGCAATATATCTTGTGAAGCCCAAGGCCTGTAAATATAGATGGGCTTATAGAAACAGCCCATTAAGAAAACTCATTTTACTGGCAAGTTAACTAGCTTTAAACCACTAATTCAAAACCATTCGACAAATAAAGTCACGAGACAACTAGGGTTCACAAACTTGTCATACCTTTATGGCATCGCATCTTCCAGCAAACAGACGTAACTCTTTAACTATTTGCACCATCCATACTATATAGAGAGAGATTATCAGCAATTGATTTAATATTTATGATAATAAATGTTATTATTTACATTACCCACAGTGTATTCTGTTACATTAAAACAGAATACACTGTTGGACCTTGTAATGATATTCTCCTCCTTCAACCAACATGTCTTTGAATTCCTTTTTCGTGAAAAAGATTTGAAATACGGTTTAGGGTTTAGGGCTAAGGTTCGAAATAAGATTTTCGCTAAGTATTTGGTATTATTTTCATTTGGTTTTCGCCTGGTTAGGTAGGGTTCGATAAAATAAAATTTTATCAATTTTTAAGTTGAAGTCCGTTACGCATTTTTAACATCTTCTTCAGCCCATTTTGGACCGACTTCTTCCCAAGGGTTGTTAGCCAGGTCGACCAGCATCCATCCTGCTAACTAAAAGGTGTATGCAAAATTTATTATTATTTTTTTTCAAAAATATGCAAAATTTTATTTGTTTATAAAATTACTCATTTCCTTGGAAATTTTCAATTTTTTTCAATTCCCTTAATTTTAGATTTTTGTTCTATGTTGTTGGGTTCCTCTACTTTTCCCCCTCTCTTAAACCTTGAATATTGGCAAAAAAAAATATATTTTTACAATTTTAGTATATTATTTTGAATTAAAATCAAATTTTATATTTCAAGTAAATATCAAACAGTTTCTTTTTTTCAAGAAAAAAAATCATCGAGTCATTTTTGAATTATTCGCATTAATTATTACATTTGATATATCTGTCAATAAGCTGTTGGCGTCATGAAATGAAGAATTTCCGTCTCCGACTGATACGGTGCATAGAATTTCATCGTGGGATATTTGGAGTTTAAAACTGTTGAATACGGGAATTGATTAGGAACGGTTACATGCATTTAAGACTACAAAGGTAGCACAAAGTATTTATGATGGAACGGAGGACAGAGGTATTGACAAATTGTTGGATTATTATACCTTTGGTGGTGGTGGTGATTGGTTATAAGTCCCACTCGTCAAATGTGACGGAAGGGATATGGTGGATCTTGTGATGATCTTGTCCCCCTTCGACCAACTTCTCCTTGAATTCCTTTTTCATCCCCTCGATCTTCAATTCCTTTAGAGAAGAGATGTGTCTCAACCCTTCAGGTAACCTCGCCAGCTTTCTGCAGGCCGATATCCTCAGGCGACGAAGTCGAGGCATGGACCCTTCTTCCACCACCCACTCTTCAAGATTTTCTAAGAAGCGCAAATGCAAGTAACGCAATTGAGGGAACCCGTCTCTTGAACTGACCATTTTCCTCCCTCGGAAACCATTGGCCTTTAGACGAACTTCCTTTAAGTTAGGTATCTTCTCAAGAATGGGCATAGGATCCTCCTCTATTCTACACCAATTTAACGTAATAGACGCGAGGTTGGGAGTGGATTGGAGCTCGTCCGGTAACTTCTCCATCTCTATACCATCGAAACGTAACCGGTTGAGACGAGGGAAACATGAAACGAGCCCTCCTAAATCGGATTTAATCGGGCCACCAATCGGAATCATGCTGTGTAACTCAAACTCTTCCACAAGTTTCAGCGCTGTAGTGAGAGATAAAGGTAAAATCCCCTCATCCGATGTTCTATGGACTTTGATACAAACTTGTCTGAGATTTCTCATATGGAGAAGGTCCTCTACTCTGCAATGCTTCGTTGAGAAGTTGATGAATGTCTCCAACTTCACCAGACTCCCCATTTCCAACTTCGTCTCTTCACTGAGACTATGAGGCAAACTAAGGTACCTCAGATCCTTCATCCTTTTCAAAACATTTGGTATATGAACTACACCATAAATCCCCAATTTCAAAAAGACCAGCAACGTTAGATTCCCAAGAGAAGATGGTATCTCTGTTAAATTAGTCTGGAATAAGCTCAAGTATCTCAAGTGAACGAGCTTTCCTATGCTCTTTGGCAGCTTCCCTCCTTGAAAATTCGTTTTACTTAGATCTAACACTCTGAGTGATGGCAAGCTTCCAAAGCTGAGCTCTGAATTCCAATCAGTAAAACTTAGAGTGACACATAAAAGCGATCTTAATTTTGGGTTTCTTATTTGTCTCTGATAAAATGTTTTTTGTCCTTCATCATCGCTATCATCTAAATCCCAATGCAAGGCAAGTCTGCGAGGCCCAAATCTGGGCACAGAAGTTGAAGAGTTGACGCTTAACAAGTGAACCTCGGTAGTGACAACTTCAAGGAAGTTCTCTTCTTTGGCTATCAACAAACACACATCTCTCATCACATCATGCACCCGAATGCTGTCGATTCTTGAGCTCACATCATCTCTACGAGAGACTAAAACCATATTTCTCTTCACAAGCTCCTCAAGGTAGCCTTGTGCTACATCTCGAACAGACCTATTAGTACCCTCTGACGGCATTTCTACTATTCCTTCCGCAAACCAACATCCTAACAATGTATCCGTACGTATCTCATGATCTTCTGGAAAATGGGCAAGGTAAAGAAAGCAATGCTTTAGATGCAATGACAAATCTTCGTAGCTCAAAGACAACACCTGGAATGCTTTATTCTCGTTATGGTTGCGGCTTATTCCTCTTATGATTTGAGCTCCGATGTTATCATTTACCCTTTTCCACTCGGATGCCGTACGTTTATCGGATAACAACCCTCCCAGCGTTCTGACAACAAAAGGTAATCCTCCACAGTGTTTTATCATTTTGTCAACCTCTTCCTTCACTTCCCCAATCTCAAACTCTGCACATGACAGTGAGGTGTTTTGACAAAACCAAAATTGGCATCTTATATACAAACATTGGTTTCATGAATACAACACCTTTACTTGTAGAACTTTTTTGGCTTCATACGCTTTGAATATTATACTGATGTATTTTTACACAAAAAACGGTTTTTCTTTGTATCTACGAAATTTTTTTCCTCCTTTTTTTAAAAAATTCTCTCTTTTCCAATATCTAAGATATTCATTGATATAAACATTTTAAGTGCTTCGAAGTAAATGCAATATGTTTGAAACAATCCGTTTGTATGTATGAAACTTACCTATATCATCTCTCCCAGAAAACGCTATTAGCAGCAACAGTTCTCGACTATCTTCATGAGTTAAGTATCTTGGTCTGAAAATTTTACATCTTGGATCCACATATGAAGCAACATCCTCATTTCGAGATGTAAGTAAGATCTTGCTACCTGCCAAACATTATGCTTTATGACTCATTGATCTATTCTTTTTTCTGGGAAAAAAAAAACCCCGAAGAGGCTACCTGGCTTCTGTGAGAAAGCTGGCTTTATAAGGTCCCAAGCTTCCTTATTCCATATATCGTCGAGGACTATCAGACATTTATTGGTTTCAAGCATTTCGAAGAGCTCATCTTGGAGTCGTTCTTCTGACATTTGCCAAATTCTATGTTCCTCTTCTTTTGCTCTGAGATTCAGTAAGATCTCCCGCCAAACGTAGTTTCGCCTACATTGTTTTGAAACACACACCCATGCAAACTGGTCAAAATAACCTCGCACTATGTCATGGTGAAAAACTTGCCTAGCTAGAGTGGTTTTCCCGATACCACCCATCCCACATATAGGAACAACTCGTATATTGATATTATCCACCAAGCGTCCAGTTAATTCTCGTATGCTATGGTCCAACCCCACAAGACCACTTTCCGATACACTCGGAAATGATTGTCGCGTCTCCCTTAATCTTTCCGACAAAGGCTCCGGAGGATTTCCATTGTCAACTATATCTTGGATGCCAAGATTTTGCATACTCTCCACTACCTTGGAAATTCTGGCAGTTATGCATTTGATCTGTGAATCACTCTTCAGTCTATTCATCGAGCTGCGAGTAAACCTAGTCACACGCTCTCTGATCCCTCTTCCATCGATGGACCCTTCTTTGAGGAGAAAGGCTTCGATAACATCCTCTGCATCATAGACAATTTCATTTATCTCATCCAAACAGTACCTCACCCTTTCGCTTCCGTGTTTCTTGGCATCTGCATCTTTAAGAAAGCCCTTTAATCGTCCCAGTTCGTCTCGTAATCCAGTAACTCTTTCATGGATTCCCGTAAACCGTTCGGATTCCTGAACCAGCAGATCCCATAGCTTTTGCACTCCAAATGAGACAACTGCGTCGGCCATGGCTTGACTCTCCTACAATCTTTCATCATTAATAAAAAAAGATACCATAAAAAGACTCAGATTTACTAATTTTAGCGCAGGCCTTGTCAACATCTCTTTCTCGACCATAATAACAAGAATCTGAACGTGATTCAGTGGTATATTCACAGCACAATAACCTAACCGAAGCATCGATATACAGAAAAATGTGCAGAAAAATCTCAACTACAAAGTAAAATTTCGAGCAGATTTCAAATCACTGAGACAAAGACGAGACACGAAGTAGGGTTTTCCACGGAGAACTGGAGGAGGAAATGACCAGTGCCTTACCTCGCAATCGGCGTAGCACTACTCAGCAGAAGCAGCTCTTTCTTCATCAACTCTGGCAATCGGATCCAACCAATTATTTAAATTGACCCATAGAGCAATCGTCAATGGTCAACCCCACCTAATCATTAAACCAATAGTGAGTTGCCACGTGGAGATATAATACTCCACATTTGTAAAGCCCAAGGCCTGTAGACGTAATTGGGCTTGTGAAAAAGGCCCATTAGTAAAATTCGATTTAGTAAATCCAATTCGACTTACTTGTAAGCTAACTAGCTTTATTCCACATTAATTAAAAATCATTCGACAAATAAACTCACTAGAAATGTCGGTTCACACACACTTTCCATGTCTTCATGGCATGCTATCTTCCATAAAAAATTTAGTTAACTATTTACATTATCCATATAGACAGACATAATCAGCAGTTAATCTTATTATTTGTAATACTATTAATTAACATTTGTAATCGACAATATATATATTCTAATATATCGTACATTTATTTTTTTAACTTTTGACCGTTTTGTTTATTTTTCTGTAATTTAAATAAAATACGGAAAAAAGCCCCTCGAGGTGCGATACCCCTCAGTCCTTCACACAAGTCAGCCACAACCCAATAGCGTCAAACGATTTCTCCGCCACCAGCCTCCGTAATTCCCAATCCCCGTTACCAAACACTCCCTCTTTTTCCTCTTCCCCAGAAACAGAGAAAAAAAAAAGGGGAAAAAAATCAACTGAGATCAGGAACTAAAAATCACGAATACAAAAAACCTAATCAAATACTGCATCTTCTTCATTTTCTTCCTCTTCGTCATCATCGTCTTCTTCTTAACTGCGTGCCTCTATCAACCTCGGCATTTGCCTATTGATTTGTCGAAACTGCTTGATTTCTCATCGATGTTAACCTAGGGTTCTTATTAATTTTCGCTTACCTGTGTTCTGAATCTAACTTACCTTCCCTTCTTTTCCCTCTAGGGTTTTGTTCTTCCTCCCCTTGTGTGTCTTCGTTTTTGTAGTTTTCGATTCGTTCCTCTCTGATTTCTTCTCCGGCCATTTTTTTTTTGGCGCTTTAATCTTCCGCAATCGATTAGTTTCTTTCAATTTACTGTTTCGGGTTTTTGTTAGATACGATATGACACGGACACCGAAGGTTCTGTTTGGCTCGTAGGAGATATTTCCCCATTCCCGTGAATTCGAAGCATAATAGAATCTGAGGGTGTCATCATAGCAACCGAAAACAATTTGGAAAGCTGATTTGATGGTTGTATTGGTCTGTATGCGCTCGAACGTAGTTTCTATCAGTTAGACACAGAGGGTTGATCCCTAGTGGTGGAGGTACGGTCGTGTAGAAGGTTGGTGAAGGATAAGGGTGAGATTTGCATGGGCGAGCATGAAGGTTGGGCGGCGTCACCGCCATCTAGTGGCGTATTGCCAAACGGTCTATTGCCGGGCAAAGCCGCGTCGGTGACAAGGCTGCTCGACGCCGAGCGGTGGGCGGAAGCGGAGGAGAGAACCGCCCAGCTCATCGCCTGCATCCAACCCAATCCGTCCTCCGAAGACCGCCGCAATGCTGTTGCCAGATATGTCCAGAGGCTTATCATGGAATGCTTCCCTCGCCAGGTGGAGGTTGTTTTTTTGTCCTCCCTCTCTCCTTTTGCGTCTTTGGTTTGGTTTATGCTTGCACTGGTTGTGGGGTAGGTTTAGTTCTTTTGTGGATAAAGAATCAAATACTTTGGAATGTAGATGAAATCGTTTCTAGTTCTATAAGTTGAAGGTCACGGTGCAAGAAATCATTAAGAAATTACATTGAAGCTGTAGGCAACTGAGAAACAGCTCAACGCAGAAAGGGATGTTGGATGAGATATGGTTGATTTAGTTCTTGACCATTTATTCCTGATTCAGTAAGATGATTAAAATTGAAATACGGAGTTCTTGCGGACGGTTTGTTGATTGAATGTAACGGTCTATGTGCACCTGATATTTGGATATTCTTGAAGTTGAATTCGATGCCTTTTGCTAGAGTCATATGCTCTTAACATAGTTCTGATCCTGGCGTCAAATGATACTTTCCTTGTCTATCAGGTCTTTACTTTTGGATCTGTACCATTGAAGACTTATTTGCCTGATGGCGACATCGACTTATCTGCCTTCAGCAGAAACCAAAATTTGAAGGATTCATGGGCTCATGTGGTTCGTGATATGTTGGAAAAGGAGGAGAAGAATGAGAATGCTGAATTCCATGTCAAAGAAGTCCAGTACATTCAAGCAGATGTAGGGCTCTTTAGTTCCACTTTCTGTTATTGCTTATATCTTCTTTTATTCCCTTTGCTACATTCTCCCTCTGTGTCATAATGTTATTGCGAAGTGTGTACTTGTTTACTTGGCGAGTTTGCTTGTGTCTTAGTTTCCCTGGTATGAATTTTCAGGTGAAGATAATCAAGTGTCTTGTGGAGAATATTGTGGTAGACATATCTTTCAACCAAGTTGGAGGGAGGATTCCTGGGCTCATCTGGTTCGTGACATGTTGGAGAAAGAGGAGAAGAATGAGAATGCTGAATTCCATGTCAAAGAAGTCCAGTACATTCAAGCAGATGTAGGGCTCTTTAGTTCCACTTTCTGTTATTGCTTATATCTTCTTTTATTCCCTTTGCTACATTCTCCCTCTGTGTCATAATGTTATTGCGAAGTGTGTACTTGTTTACTTGGCGAGTTTGCTTGTGTCTTAGTTTCCCTGGTATGAATTTTCAGGTGAAGATAATCAAGTGTCTTGTGGAGAATATTGTGGTAGACATATCTTTCAACCAAGTTGGAGGGTTGTGTACACTATGCTTCCTAGAGGAGGTTAGCCGTTGAGTTACTGACCTATGGAAGCAGTGTATTATTTAGTTTACCTTTATGGATAATTTCTTGATTTTATTTTACTTTATTATATGGGCAGGTTGATCACTATATAAATCAGAACCACTTATTCAAGCGTAGTATCATATTGATTAAGGCCTGGTGTTACTATGAGAGCCGCATATTGGGCGCTCACCACGGGCTTATCTCTACTTATGCTCTGGAAACATTGGTTCTTTACATATTTCATGTTTTTAATAACTCCTTTGCTGGACCCCTTGAGGTATTGTCTCTGCGCAACCATCTTCATATGTTCAAGATATTTCTCCAACTCCCTCTGAAAGGATTGCTTGTGTTTGTAGGTTCTCTATCGATTTCTTGAGTTCTTTAGTAAGTTTGACTGGGAGAATTTTTGTGTTAGCCTCTGGGGTCCTGTTCCAATTTGCTCACTTCCAGATATAATAGGTGCGCATGCTTGCCTATTGGTCTTACCTTACATTTGATTGTGCAAGGCTCTCTGGCACTAATCGTTTTGCTATTAAACATTTGGCAGCGGAGCCTCCTCGGAAGGATGGTGGAGAGTTACGAGTTACTGAAGTGTTTCTTAAAGCTTGTAGTAGAGTTTATGCAGTTTATCCTGCTGCTCAAGAGAATCATGGGCAGCCTTTTGTTTCGAAACATTTCAATGTTATTGACCCTCTGCGTGAAAGCAACAATCTTGGGCGAAGTGTTAGCAAAGGTACTTGCTGAGATGAAAGCCGTTGCCGGTTCAATTGAGACGCCAAATCGATACACTTACAGCTCGACTCCTATATGTTATCTACGTCTAACAATGCTGGTCATGTCTTGCTTTGCATCTGAGTCTTTTTCTTTTCTTGTTGCATTGTCAAAGGTAAAAGATCACAAATCTTTTGGAGTTTTTATTGCTACTTATTTTCTTTTTCTGTTCAATTGTTCAGGTAACTTCTTTAGGATACGAAGTGCATTTGCCTTTGGTGCCAAAAAGTTGGCAAGATTACTTGATTGCCCGAAGGAGGATTTGTTTCATGAAATAGACCAATTTTTTATGAATACATGGGAAAGACATGGTAGCGGTCATCGTCCTGATGCTCCTGGGGATGACTTATGGCAACTAAGACTCTCAGACCATGACCCACATCATCGAGCCGAAAATGCTAGTAATTCTTCAGGAAGCAACAGAAATGAAAATTCCTCGCATCATGAGATTCATGTTGATGGGGTTCAGAGAACACACGGTTTGCCCTCTGTGCCCTCTCAACAGAATAAGAGTCAGGCTGAAAGTATGTCTAGAGGAAGTGACACTTCAACGAGTTATCGAAGCCAAAAGAGTAGTGGTAACTCAAACAGCTCAAAGATTTCTGGTCAACATAGACTAGAAGTCAGTTCCAGCCAAAATGTTTCAAATGATAAATTTCAGAGGAGCTTTAAGCCAGAATCTATGGTGAATAACTTTCAGGGAAGGCATCTGTTTGCCAGGACTCGTTCTAGCCCTGAGCTTACTGAGACATGTGGTGAAACTCCTTTACCATCGCGGCGCACTAGAGCCCCGGAAATTGGGAAATACCAAACTGATTCATCAAGGGTTGATAATACCAGGAAAAAGAATCAGGAGTCTGAGACTTTATCAAGCCATGGTAGATCTTCGGTTGAATCATCACTTAGGCATATCTCATCCCGTCAAAGTCTTGATAGTACCGCTGAGACAAACAGCGAAATTACTAGGTATCAAGATGATTTAGGTTCGGGTTCCATGAAAGATGACTTTTCCATCCCAGGGGTACAGGGAATGCAACAGGAAGAGCAAGACCTTGTTAACTTGATGTCATCTGCTGCACATGGTTTTAATGGGCAGTTTCCGTTTCCTTTAGGGTTTGCTGCTGGTCACTTACCTTTTCCGATTGCACCTTCCATCTTAGCTTCAATGGGATATGGTCAGAGGAATTTGGCTGGCATTGTTCCTACTAACCTTACGTTCAATGAGACTGCGTGGGGTGCCAATATGCAATTTCAACAAAACTTAGTTTTTTCACCGTTTACCCATTATTTTCCTGGTGGATTCCCTCAAAATCTGGAAAACTCAAGTCAAGCTGGTAATGACAACACGGGTTCTGTAGAAATGAATGTTGGCGAGCCTGAACATGATTCATGGCACGAGCAAGAAAGGGGAACTAGCAGTTTTGATCTCGAAAACGGTGATTATGGAATGCATCAGGTGCATGATAATCATCATTCATCTACAGAAGATTACAGTTATGGACTTTCAAGTCGGAGATCTAGCGAAACACGATCAGTGAAAGAAGATGATTCAGACAATTCCCACTATCCAGCTAGAGGAGGCAGTCAGATGTCGATTGAAGAGAGAAATACAGGCTCTAGAGCTGTGTCTCGTGCTAGTTCTGTTAGAAGCAAAACTTCATCCGAAAGCTCCTGGGATGGATCAAAAACAAAGGGCTCAAAACCGATTAGGGAAAAACGGAACAGGAAAGTAGTGTCTTCTAGGCCTTCATCTGCGTTGTCTGGAAAAGGAAAGAGCGTATGTGAGCACTCAATCCAGGTTGATGATGATAACAGAGAGTGGGTTCCTGTATCCAGCGATGAAATGACAGAAAGAGATCTAGAGTCTCAGCCTACTGTTGCATCATTGCAAGTTCAGAGGCATCAAATGCAGGGTCTTGAACCAGCTCAAACAAGTGGACCAGAATCTGTAATACCTCTTGCTCCATTGCGTCTTGGTCAAGGTTTGCAGCAAAGAACTGTTGATAGCTCAGGGTATACATTTTATCCAACTGGGCCACCTGTTCCAATTGTGGCAATGTATCCGGTGTATAACATTCAAGCTGGTAATACAACATCAGATGCGTCAACCAGCCATCATAGTGTGGATGAAGGGATAGAAAATAACAATTCATGTAAAACTTTTGACTCATTTAGGGGAGTTGATCAGTCTGAGATATTAACTTCTTCCCACCCCTCAAAAATTGCTGCTTCCGTTGAGCCAATGGAGCACAAACCTGACATTCTTAATGGTGATTTTGTTAGCCATTGGCAGAACTTACAGTATGGCCGTCTCTGCCAGAATTCACAATGCCCTCCGTTGATGTATCCTGCTCCTGTGGTTGTCCCACCTGCTTATCTCCAGGGGCGCGTGCCATGGGATGGTCCTGGAAGACCTCTTGCTTACACAAATGTTGTCAATCAGCTTGTGACTTATGGACCTCGTCTCGTGCCAGTTGCTCCTGTACAGTCTGCTTCAACCAGACCAGCCAACATTTACCCCAGATATTCAGATGAAATACCTAGATATCGGAGTGGGACGGGGACCTACTTTCCAAATCCTGTAAGTATTATGTGTCTTTTTATTCATGCATTTATTTGAACTAGCTTCTAGTCTTTCTGCTTTCATATTTTTGTCAACTGAACTGCACGTGCATTTCATTATTTTGTTGTGTGATGTGTCACCCATGTTCATTTTTGTTCATTCGTGGTATCATGTGAGAATTTGAATCATCTGTCCTCTTAAACTTCTTCAACGAACTCGAACTCCTCTCTGCTTCTAGGAAAATGAACATCATATTGGTGACTGCGTGAAAGTAAAGCTGATGTGCTTCTGATAGAAACAAAAACCCTGTGTTTATTTGCATATGACCTGTCTGCTGCTCTGAGGAACTCGGATCTGTTTTTGGCTGTCTGTGAGGATATTTTGTTTTCATTTTTCTTGATGCTAATATTCGTAGTGTGTTGCTATCTCGTCTTCCTGTGTAACTTGTTTGTACCTTCTGATATCTAAGTCCATTAGCTTTTTGATACCTCGATGAATTGAAATTGTTGCAGAAGAATACCACTAGGGAGCGGCATTCATCTAGCATGAGGAGGGGGAGTTATGGGCATGACAGAAACGAGCATCATGGTGATCGAGAAGGGAACTGGAACGTTGCTAAGACGCGTGGTTCAGGGCGTGGTCACAATCGTAGCCAAGCTGAAAAGCCAAACTCAAGGCAAGACCGATCAGATAATAGACATTGGGGCTCATATAGGCATGAATCATCATCGTCATATGCATCTTATCATTCCCAGAATGGCCCTATTCACTCGACCACCTCACATGACGGATCTGCTAATATGGCATATAGCATGTACCAATTGCAAGGGATGAAGCAAAGCAGTGCGGCTTCTGAGGGTCACAGTATTCCATCTGTTATGATGTTTTATCCGTACGATCGCAATACTGTTTACAATGCACAGGGTGAACAGCTTGAGTTCGGGTCGCTTGGACCTATGGGTTTCTCGGCCACAAATGAAGCGACCCATCTAAGTGAGGGGAGCCTTTCGAGCCGGGCATTTGAAGAAGATCCACGGTTTCTTGGTACTTCTTCTGCTCAGATGTCTTCTTCGCCAGATCAGCCCTCATCGCCTCACCTCCCCAGGTAATGATGGTTTGTCTGTTTCTGAACTCATACACCAGATTGAATGGACACAAAAAAGAAAACAAAAAAAAAAGAAAGGGGATTTTGATTAAGGTTGTCTACATCTCAGATTTTGTTACTTTATTAACATCATTTAGTTGTCTGGGATTTATCTTATTTGATATCTTGGTGGGACTGTCATAACCTCTGCCGTAAATGCAGGGGTAAGTGATTTTATTGCTGGATCAAGCAAAAAGCCCAGAGGGGCGCAGAGGGAACCAAACGAACGCATCCCACCACTCGAATCTTGGGAAATCAAGAAAAAAATGGAGACAAGAAAACCTCAAGCTGACCTACTAGGAACAATCCTGCACAAGTGCTTTGAATGCAAGGACTTGTGGGAAGAGAAGTCGCACGTTGTTTCTCGGAGGGAAGAAAATCTATGACGTGAAAAATAACAGAGACCCGACACAAGATGGTTAGTTCTTTGTATGTACACTATCAAAAAGAAGCATCATCAACCATCATCATCATCATCGTGATAGAGAATGATGATGTCTTTTGTTCCAGTAGAGCAAGATGTGGGAAAGAAGAAAAAGCATCCTCTCCATTTGTTTTTTCGACGAATCGGTTTCTGAGGTTTCCTACAAAAACCATAAAACTTGTAGCCTTTGCCCAGATAGAATATGCTTAGGTTTCAGGATTTTATCGTTTTACTGAGTCCCAGAAAAGGATTTTTTATTTTCCTTTTTCCAATAGAAGGCTGTAATAGCGAAAAGGTTTTTGGATTTATGAGTACACTGTGACTGTTAGCCAAAAGTAGTTGCTGCTTTTCCTTTTCCCCTATCGCGCAATGTCTTGAGGTTCGTAGAATCTGCTACCTAAAACGGCGTCGTATCATTCTTTACAATTATTGGGCCGCAAAGTAGTTCATCTCTTTATTTCAATTTTGGGCCCAAATGAAAACAAATGGTAAGGCCTTTTTTCTGCTTTTACTCTCCAATTTTTTCCTTTTCTTTTTTTTTTTAATTATTTACAGTCTGCCAAATGTATTGGAAGAGAGGGTGATTGGCTAATATGGAAATTAATGTTTTCCGACATGGCTGATGTATCTGCGGAATGGATGGCAAAGATGAAGGAGAACATGTCCCTCAAAGTATGATTATTACAAGTAATTTAAGTCTAATTTATAAACAAAAAACTCAACTCATGCGATATTATAAGAACATATATAAGATGAAATTTTAAAAATGGAAACCTAAAATATCTTTAAAAAAACACACAATAGAAAAAGTGACAACGGAAAAAAAACCTTAGAAAACCAAACAAGAAAAAAAAAGGCAATATTCCCCATTGGAATTCCTACACTTGTTATGGTATCAAAATCATTTGAGACTCATCACATGTAATGTAAAAAAAACATAACAATAATGGTGACAATATAAAGGAATGAGTTTAGGGCAAATTTTACTTTAGGGTATCCATGGGGAAGGACACGAGAATTTAATAGCAAGTGTCCTTATTTAGGTAACCCTCTTTTTCATGAAATATGGACCTACACACTTCGACTTTCTTTTCATTGACCAATTTTCATTTTAATTGCACTTAGTTTTCATAATCATACAAATATTTGGGTGGTTTAAGACGTGTTTACGTGTTTTAATAAATTACCTCATGGGTTCTTATGAAGAAAATATCCAAAAAAAGAAAACAAAAAATAAAAAGGACACAGGGGGAAGAATAATTTTTATGGTGTTTTACCGTTTTAGCCCCTACGAGGAGTCCCAAATCCCAAGGCGATAGATGGACAGCCCCTCGCCACGTTCCCTGTCTCTTTTGTGAACACGTGTCCCTCCGTATCTGGACTTTTCTCTTGGCTCGACACGCGTCGCTTCTCTATTGGATAGTCTCCTTGAACTCTTACAAAAATGACCAAACAAAATTGAGAAAAGAATGGGGAAAAATTAAACCTTTTTTGGGCCTTTTAATTGGTAGGTCCATTTGATAAGCTTTGTTGATTAATTGGTGGATTAATGTGTGGTTTTCGTTAGTTTATGCGAGCCGCCGTCTTGATTAGGCTCACGTGGTTTTGTTTGTGTACGGTGGCTCCTGACGGCGGCTCACGAGCTGGCTTTAGCCCGAATACAGCTAAACGATCTTTTATCAATGGTTTTTCATTGTCACAAAGAATGCCAAAAAACATTTAATACCAACTTGTTTTAATGTTTTCAAATCTATATTATAATGTTATATCACAAGAAAATTAATGTATTCAGAAAAAAAAAACTTTTTTTTGTATCTGTTCATATTTTATTTTATTTTTAAAATATGTTATTAGGGGCCATTCCTTAACAAACTAAATGGCAAAGTTGTTTTGACCATATGAATTCGTGGTAATTTTCTAAATATTTTGATATATAAAAATTAATCTAATTATATAAATATTTTTTTTAAAAGTCCTATAAAAAATACGAACTGCTATCATTTTTCTAAATCCAAAAATCTGAAAATAATATTATAGAAATCGAACTAAATTTGATATATAATTTTGAAATAGAAAGAAAAGGGTCGGACCACTTCATACAATTATAAAGTTCAATAACAATAGTAACAATACGGGAAAAAATAAAAGGGGAAGTGGTCCCGTCGAATTCGTAATAATAATAAATGAAAAGAAATCAAACAAAAAGATGCCATTCCCGGGGGAGTACAGTGGGAGACCATTCCCCATTCGTTAGCCAACAATCAACAACTTGGCTTTGCCTCTTTCATTTTTATTACCAAATATATTTACTGCACGGTTAATTGCTATTTTAACCGGTTCAAAACTCAACGGTTCGTGATACGATTCTCCGGTTCACGATTCGGTTTTTACCGCTTCAAACGGTTATTTCATTTATTTATTTTTAATCCCTCTTAACTGAAGCCGACGATAGCGAGCCGTCATTCCCATTTCCTTGTCGGAATTTCACCGACTCTCTCTCTCTCTCTCTCTCTCTCTCTCTCTCTCTTCCTTCTAAATTTTCATTTTCTACACGTTATTTTTCCTTTCCTCTTCACCGGTCTCTTTACAATATAAGTTTGGTGAGATTTTTCTCGCCCGGTTCTCGCTCTCTCGTTCTACGGTTTCTCTGGTGCGTAACTCTTCTTGGAACTCCGCTTCTCTCGGTAATGGAGTAGCGAAATCTCTCGTAATCTCCGCCTCCTGAGTTTTTTTTTTTCTTGGCGAAGACCGGTCGGCTCTTGCACTAACCTTCTCCTCTGCAATCTCTTTGAATTCTTCAAGAGTTTCGGTTCAATCGTCACGTTTCCTGCAAACTATTATCGTTATCGGGTCCGAATCCGGTTTGGGTTTTTGAGACTCACGTAGGTGATTTTGGATCTACAAATTCGTCGACAAAACTTTCTTCTGTGAGTAACATTTGCGATTCGCTGGGAATTTCGAAGGTTTTGAAGGTCGAAGTAAGGTGAGACGCCATGGATCGTTTTAGGTATTTGCTTACTCTACTCGTGGCCATAGTGTTTAAAGTTTAAACCTTTGTTTGTGGGTTTTTTAATATTATATTATTAGTAAGTTCCTATTATGTGGGGATTTGTATCCTAATTATAGTTTAATATTGTTCGCACAGTATCTGTATACTCTCTCCAGGAATCATTTGTTGCGTATTTTTCACCTGCAAGTCTGAAGCAGAAGCGTCAATTGAATCCGTGACTTAAAAAAAAAGAAGCAGCAGATGCAAGAGACTCTTAAAGATTCAGGCTTTATTGTGTTAGATCTATATTTGGTTCCCTTGGATTCTTATTATAACGGGTTTCTAATTGGAGAATCATGAGTCATAGTTTTATTGCACATGGTTTTTATTCCATAAATAGCAAAACTTTCTTGAGTGAGGTTCATTTATTTCACATATGCTGCAGTTGGTGTTTGGTTCAGATCCTGAGAGAATTGGATTTCAGTTCTATGGATATACTATAAGTTTAGGTTTGTACTAGGAATGACACATAATCTGGCTTGATAAATCTCAGTGATATTATGAGTTTTTGGTTGATGACTTGGTTTCCTTAAAAAAGATTTAATCATGAACTGTTGTTAGGAGAATGTTTGGAGATTATGGGCATTATGTCTCTGATTGTGTGTTTTTTGTTTTTGCTTTTTCTTGTTCTGAGTTGTGGTTTGATGCTTTTAGGGTTTAGCTTTCTAATGACTTTATGAAATATTATTTTATTATTTAGACTGTGGATTGTGTGCCTAATTGGCATCTCCTTTCCTATTAAACAATGCTAAGGAACTCCACTTTTCATGTCTGGTATCATTGTGAATTCACTGTCCGAAATGCTCTTCTTTTGTCTTTATGGTCTTTGAATTCGAATTGTTTTGACTTGTTAATTGTTTCTAGTATGATCATAAGATTGGTCGATTTCGATATATGGTCTGGCAGCAAATCTCTCTTGTTGGTTTTGTAGTGCACAAGAGCTGTATATTACAACTTTGCCTTGTGACTTAAATGGTCTCTTCTTCTCTATCCAGGCTTATCTTTGGGTTGACATTACAAACACTGCAAGCCGAGATGTTGAGCTCTATGAATTGCATTGTTGTAAATGCTGTTAAAGAGAACAGTTCCGATTGAAAGATCTGTACAGTTTACATTCAACTCTGATGAAGAACGGACAGGTTCTTCTATATCTTATTCTTCTAATATTTTCTCTCCAGATTCTTGTCATAGGCTCATAGTGTTATATTATTGCCACAATATCTTCCCTCTGTTGGAAAAAAAAAATCAATAACTTGTCCTTTTTGGTACTTTTTACAATTCTTTACTTTGGGATTCTTTACATTTGCTTTCAGCTATTGTTCAATATCATCCGAGGATTAGGTCAATAATTCCATCTAGAAGTTGGACCATGTTATAAGTTTCATTATTAACTACAGTGGTCCTATTCATAGCAGCTGATCCGTTTGGTTATATAAGTAATTTTCTAGCTGCAATCATCACATCTAGAGTTGGGTTTTCCAAAAGTGGAACTTTGAAGAAAACTTCAATTGGATTACAGAGCAAACAAGAGATACAATCTTCTACTCAAGCTTCACATGAGTCCCAAGGTGATCAGCAAAACAATCAATCAGCAGAAGCTCCTATCCAAGATTCAGGTTCTGTATCTGCTTCTAGCAATGATGGTAGGAAAGTCTCAAGGCAAGATATTGAACTTGTGAGTAATCTATTCTATTTCTCCATTTATTTTCTCACTGAAAATCCGTGCTGAACTTATCCGTCTCCATACATATACATATCTTCCCCTGGTAAATTCCCAGCATTTGATGAAAATATACTTTGCAAATGGTGGTGTAGGTCCAAAATCTAATAGAAAGATGCCTGCAGCTGTACATGAACAGAGACGAGGTCGTGAAGACCCTCTTGACTCGTGCAAGGATAGACCCTGGATTTACAACATTGGGTATGCTTTTGAAGTTTATTCATGATTTTTTTTGGCTTTGATGCCCCGACCGTGTTCTTGCTTTTAGCGGCTTTGATATTAGATTCCTGCAAACAATTATATAGCTGTAGTAAAACTGGAGAAATTCTTGGAATAATGGTTGCTGAAGCATGAATTCAACTGCAGTCTGTAACATGGTTGAAAGTATAAATTAGTTATAGCATAAACTGGTCTTGGTAGCATTATGAAAGTAAAATGTTTCAGTGACATGTCATTTCAACGAATTTTTCTTTTGGTGAATTCAGTATGGCAGAAATTGGAAGAAGAAAATGCAGATTTTTTCAGGGCCTACTATATCAGATTGAAACTGAAGAAGCAAATCATTTTATTCAACCATTTGCTTGAGCACCAGTATCATCTCATGAAATATCCTGTGCCTCCAAAAATTCCTTTGGCTCCGATACAGAATGGAATTCACCCCATGTCTGGTAAGTTTCTAACCCCAATTCCCTTGCAAACTTCCAGATTACTACTGTCCTTTATTCTTTTCTAAAGTTGAAAGTATGACCGTTGGTATGTTTGAACCATAGGATATACGAAAATTTCTCTCCAAGGATATTTGAAATTTCTGGCACAGTTTTGTTTTACTTTGCAAATTTCTGTAGTTATCACTGTTATTTAACGTTATATGTTCACAGCGCAGTTAATAACATGCCGATGGGATACCCTGTGCTACAACATCCTCCAATGCCGGTGCCAGGTCAGCCCCATCTCGATCCAATGGGCTGTGGGATATCAAGCTGCCATGTGGTCAATGGGGTCCCTGCACCTGGGAATTTCCATTCAATGAGGATGAACTCTGGGAATGAGTAAGAACTTACTTGCAGTTGACATTAGATTATGTCTTTTGATCACTTAGATACTATGCTCTTTTTACTTTTCAGTTTCTCATCGTGGGATTCTCCATTTCTATTTTGACATTAGTTAATGTCTTTAACCTCCTTTGTTTTCTTTTTGTGTGCATGATGCATGCAGTATGGTAATAGATACAACTACTGCAGCTGATGCAGCTCCAGTGATTCCGCCGAGCAATGGCATGTCATCCATGTCGGAGATGGCAGTGAGTCCGACTTCCGTGACATCAAGCGGACACTTCCCGTTTGCTGCTTCAGACATGTCGGGCATGGCAATGGACACGTCAGCTCTTGATTCTGCATTCCCATCCAATGTTGCAACGTCGATGGGCTTACAACTCGGACCAGATGGAGGAGCTGGGAATTCTAGAGATTCCCTCAGGTCATTTGACCAGATCCAATGGAACTTCAGCCTTTCTGACCTCACTGCAGATTTGTCAAACCTTGGAGGCAAGTCCTTTTGCCCTTTTATCTATTTACCATTATAAATTCCTTAGAAATGTGCTTCTTTTTCAGGGGTTAAAGGCTTGTAATAAAGTTGTTGTATGTATGTGTTAACAAAGCCTTATAGCATCACTTGTTTTCCATTTTATATTTCTGATGGTAAGCTGATTCTTGTTGTAATTTTGTACTTTGTAGATTTAGGAGCTTTAGGAAACTATCCCGGCTCTCCATTTCTTCCTTCCGATTCAGAAATTTTGCTTGATTCTCCCGAGCAAGAGGACATTGGTAAAGACGAAATCCCTATCATTATTCCGACATCAATCTCATTGATTTCTTTTTGGAACTCTAAGATTCAACAAGAATGTGCTTGCAGAGATAGAAGAAACACACAGCTTCCCGTTCTTCTTTGTGTTACAATATGCAATGTGGTAGATCCAATGTTGCCCCTTTCTGACAATTGCTTGTACTTTTGCTGCAACAGTGGAGGAGTTCTTCGTGGATTCCGTTCCCGGACCTCAGTGTTCTCCATCAGACGAAGACAAATCTTAGCAAAAGGTAGCATCCGAATTCTCTCTCCGGATTAAAAACACCGCCATGGAAACAAATAAATCGGAGCTTTTGATTCTCCAGTTTTTTTACGAGTTAGGGATGAAGCAGTAGCAGCAGTAGTAATAGTAGTCTCTGTACCATTAGCATAAAAACATTATAAGTTATTATCATTGTTTTTTTTTTATTCGGGCTTATGATAAGAGACCGACCACGTAGACTAATTGTTAGCTTCTTGATTTCAATGTAGTAGTAACGACTCTATTTTGGGTATGATGTAGCATGTACACCATGATGCCATGTCATGCTTCCTCCTTTATCTAGTAATATCACTTGTAAGTTAAGTGGTGTGCACTTCAATTAAAGTAATTGGGCATCCTTATTTTCCATGACAAAGATATGAATGATTTGTCGACAAATTTTAATTTTTATGGATAATCCGAAAGTTCACTGTATTAATAGCTTGGCTCTCCCCAATAGTCGAATATGGGTACAGAACTCTAATTTTGGGATATAAATTTTAATTTTATTTTTTATTAATGGGTATTAGGCATTTTTTTTTTGTCTCTGAAAACCAAAGTTTCTATATCGGTATTCATACCAAAAAAAAAGTTTCTATATCGGTACGTGTGAAAAGTACCTTTGAACAACTGCAAATTTCATTATTGAAACGAGGGTATATTATATATATTCCATCAGCCACCAAGATAGAGACGCATCTTTGGTCTTTGTTTGTATATGTGTGTATATATGTATATACGCCATTCAAAGTCAGACCGATTGCAATTGGGCTCAAGGGAAAGAACTAGACGTGAAAAAAAAAAAAAGAGGACCATGTATGATTTCCAATATTGGATGAGATAGAAAAAATTCATATACCAAAAAAATTATCGTAAATCATCATCGTCTCCATCGTAAAAAAGACTTCAGAGATTTAATACAATGTATTTTTTATTTTTATTTTTTGCATTTTTAGTTGTAGCGCTATACTTCATAAACTATGGCTAGAAGTCTTGGTTTGTGTACTATGAAGTCGAATAATATATTTTCCAACTACATATTTTGACATCTTGATAAAACGAATATTATAGTACACTCGCGTGAATATTAGCGAAGTTAGTTATCATCCGAAAACGAACACATTGGCCCGAGGATGACTTTGACTCCGTCTTGGTCCACTCCTCCTCGACATATATTTAATGTATATACGCATAGCCATCATACTTGGATCACTTTTTCTGTAGAATTTTACCTTTCTCACTTCCATTGTCGATGTCGTCGAGCTTTCATTTTCTTTTTTCTTTTTTTCTCAGAGACGAAGCTTCCTCTTCCTAAATCAGAAACCTTGAAAATTACACGCTTTGAATATCAAACCCGACGTTTCTTTTCTTGACCTTTTCACCCGAGAGATCCCTTATCCCCCCTCCCCCCATGAAGTGCCTGTGAGGGGAGATTTTCTGGTTGGTTGCCGAGGAAACATCTGTTTTCTTTCCTCACACTTCTCAGGTTTGCTCGCAACAGGTTCGTTTCTTTCTGGGTTTGGTTCCATCTTTGTTCTTTCTGTCTGTAGCTCGCTGAAGTTTCGGAATTTACACTACTCTGTTCTGTCCGATGCTCTGTAACAAGCTCAAGTATGATGCAGCAGCAG